ATCGTCATTTTGATTTTTAACTTAACATTTGTTTGTTTTATTGCTGAGCTACAAAAAAGCAAAGTGAAATTGAATGCTTCTATTAATTGTTGTAAATAAACCACTTTTTTCCAAATTAACGGATAATGGACAATAGAGCAAATCAAGGCAAAGGCAGGTTCAGCTTTACTAGTGTATTTAGCGTTAAATTCTATTGTGTAAAAAATGAGTTTAGGTTTTTACTGTAAGTTCATTATAAAATGATTTTTTTACTGCATTGGTTAATATTTTTCAAACAACATTTAGCTATTTTTAACATATTTGGAAATCACCCATGGAAACTTTAATGCACTATTATTTGGTATATTTACATTTGCCCGCATTTATCAATCGAGTGTGGTTTCTGGGCCTTTATAGGAGAAAATTTGGACACCCTAAATTTAGAGGTGAAGTTACCATATAAAGTTTTACCACGGTAACCACACAGGGCAAAATACATTAGCTGCAACAGTTACTCTACTGTAAACCTGTGAAACTAAATAAGTTAAGGCAACTCAAGCCATTTGAGGAAACCCAACAAACCATTTAAGTTTAAAAACTAATTCTCATGAGTACTGTGAACTTAATCCATTTGAGTAAACAAAGCAATTTGAGCACGGTAAAACACATTAAATGAGGAGAACTCAAACCAACTGACTACTGTAAAACCCAATGAAGGCAACCAAAACCACTTGAGGGAACCGATACAAACCATTTAAGTTGAAAAACGAATCTAAACGAGTACTCTGAACTTACTCCATTTAAATTGAAGTAATGAGGTCTTTAATTAACTCATTACCTTCAACTCTGAGTTCAAGTTGACTCAACTTTTCAACAATTTTAAGGCAACCAGCTTCAGGAGTTTACTAAGCTTAAATTGAGTCAAGTGCAGTAATTGGGTTGAAAGTTGAGTCAACTCAAAAATGTCCTGAAGCTGGCTGCCTTAAAATTTTAAGTTGAGTCAACTTGTTGTTTTACACTGTGGTTTCCCAGACTGGTTTGTTTGTCTTGACCAGCTGGGATTTGACCAAAACCCCTCTAAGGTCGAGGAATCATCTACTGTAGGTCCAGTCTGCAACCCTCTTAGACGGGTTTAAGCTGCTGTTTTTCCTGCAAGTTTTATTTTTAATTTTTTTTAACCATAATAAAAACAGTGTTTAATAGTTTAAGCTAGTCTTGTTCAACAAAAATCTGTTATTTGCATGAATCATCATTTCAGAAGCCATATTTACTTTTGTTTTATTTATTTTTTAATTTGGGTCTTTACAAAGTTTTATTATGGTAACCACAGGTTGAAAACAAAAATGACCACAGTCAAACTACAGTTACCTGACAGTAACAACCACAGTAAAAATAGCAGAACTTGTGTTATTCTCCAAAGATTACAGCACATTCAGTCAGATGGATGTATTATTTGCAGTGCAACTTTATGAACTAATTAGTTTTTTGATTTTCCCAAATGGAGAGTAACACTTCAAACTTATTCAAATAGATAAAGGATTCATTTCGAACCAGTTTTGATTGGTTTATGGCTTGAGCGACAGCGCCCTCTACTGGTGATGCTTTTACATTTAATTGGATCTACTTTAGACTTTTCATATATCACAGTTTTTCTCAGTGGCTTTAATGCATTTCTCACAACACTATTTACATTTGCACAACAGTTACTGCATTTCTCAAAACAATTAGTCATTTGTGCACATCACAGTAGCAGTTTCTCATTCCTTCAAACACATTAAAAATGCTTTTGGACAAGCATCAATTGTTTTCCTACAACTCTCTGCTGTTTATAACATTATCATCTGCTTATGTCATGTCAGTCAAAATGAACTAAACTTGTAAACGCTGAATAGTCATTCCATATAAAACTAATAGTCCTCATTTCATTACTGGAGTCATTACATACACAAATGTTGAACTAGTTGTCAAAATCTGTCGAGCAAATTTTATTTTAAAAAATCCTGAAAATGTCTTCTAAATTGAACAATTTGATGAATGATTTACAGACCTGTGTATGTTGTAGGTTCAGTTCTAATATGTACTGCAATATTATTCACAGTTGTGCACAGCTCTATCCAAAGGAAGCTAATGCTTGTTGTAAATAAGGGTGTGTTTATTCTTTTGCACAATGCTGTGAGTAAATTAGAATTGTAAAGAGGAAATGCAGTAAACATGTGAAACATACATATTCAGATACCTCACTAAATGCAGTGATGTCTAACTTTACTGTAGTTTTCAAATGGCTGTGCTAATAGTATATAGTGCTGTCTTAAGCAGTTTCAGGAAGTGTCACTAAAATCTGACTGTTTTGCATTGGAAAACATTTACAGAGTAAACTGTCATAATGAAAACAGGACAAAGCCATTTGACTATCTTGTTTATAAACAATGGTGTCAGGACTTTTCATCTTGATCACACTGACACTTTCATTGACATCAATACTTGCTTTTGAGGAATGAGCGATCTATTTTGAGCAAGTGATGCACTTTTGCAGGTTATCAACTAGGTTTTGCAGTTTGTACTAATTATTTAGAGAAATGCATGAACTATTGTGCAAATGTAAATAGTGTTGTAAGAAACGCACCAAAACCGCTGAGAAAAACTGTAATTTTTTTACAAATCAATAGTGAGAATCTTTCAAATTGTTCTAATAAATAAAACAGGAAAATAATGAACGTTTTAATTATTTAATTGATTATTTATTCTAGTAATGATACGTATTAAACTGTGGTTACCATACCCTGTAAATAAGTATCTGTTTATTAACAGTTGTGATTGACCAGTGTTTTCTGTTTATTTACGATTGTTAATTGCGTTATGGGATGTTGATCTCTGCTCTGTCGACTTTTAATGTTAAAAATCCAACTCTACTGTTTAACAAAGCGACTTTTGTTGACATTTTACTAGTTTGAAATAAAGCAATGTAATTGCATTATTAAGAAATTTATTAAATAAGAAATAATATTTAGAGAAATAAGTCTGTAAAATAACAGAAAATGTACTGGCAGCTTATTGCAAGTTTAATAAACTTTAAACTATTAAAATGTTCATAAAAGTCACTTTTTAAAGGTTAAAAGTTGTTGGAAGAAAGCTCAACGTCCCTTAATTCAATTCAAAAGCATAAATAAATGGAGTTAAAGAGCCCATATTATACATGAAATAGGGTCATATCTTGGTTGTAAGAGTCTCCAACAACAGTTTAATATGCATGCAAGGTCAAAAAACACTTTCATGGTCTCATAATCTGCATTTATTTTAACCTAATTATCCCAGCGACTCCCGTATGAATCGTCCAGTGATTCATTTGTTCCCAAACCCCTCCTTAGCGCGAAGCTAATCTGCGCTGATTGGACCGATGACAGTCTGTCGCGATTGGTCGACTGCCTTCAGTCAGAGAGTGAAATGACCAATAGCTAATCAGCAATTTAAAAAGTAATCACAGTTCATGCACGCTCGATAGTGTAGGCGTGGATTTTAGCTGCCACACACACACAAAAACACACACACACCTCCGGACGACAACGCTCCCGCTTCCGTCCGCACCCGCCAGGTTTTAGCCTGAGAACCCGCCCCGTTTTCTGCCTGCCGCAACCAATCCCGCTAGAGCGGGGGAGAACACAACCAAAAAATCACCCAGTATACAGTCCAGACAGCCAAGCTGTCTGTATAAACACACACACAGCACCAAGCACACAAAGCTCTCGCTCGCTCACTCGCTCTCTCTCTCTCTCTCTCTCTCTCTCTCTCTCTCTCTCTCTCTCACTCTCTCTCTCATACGCGCGCACTAACACACATACACACAAGCACCAAACAGACACATCTTTCTCATTCGCATAGTAATATCCGTGATATTGCTAGACAGCCCACTCCCGTCCCAAATAAACCCGTTACCGACCGCGCCCGCGATTTATTCGGAAATTTATTCCCGCGCCGCAGAAATCTGGCGCGGGGACAGCCGCGGGTATGCAGACCTCTACCACGGAGCTCCCTAAACAAAGCAGCACGCGTCGCGTTTTTAACGTGACTTTGCACGCGATAAGAGAATATATCCAGTTAACCTGATACAGTACACTCGGTTACAAGTAACAAATCACAACTAAATACATTTGCAAGCTAGAGTCAACGAGGCAACAACTTTAATCGCACGTACTTACACTTGAGAAATGGAGGAAGAAACCCATCCTGACGTCAATCAGTAAGTTACTCTTTACTGATCCTTCCTTTAACAAACGCTGATGAAGTATTCTTTGTAGCATGTAGTTTCCAGAAGTTTACAGTAGTTTCCAACTGCTTGGCTATAATGCTGAGGTTTCATGTTTGGGTAGAGACTCAATATAATATCCATCTGCAGTGTGACTTCAATCGACCGGCATGTTTGTGTGTGTGTGTGTTTGTGGGGGTGTGTGTGTGTGTGTGTGTCTGGGTTTCTGCGTCAGAGGGCGGGGCCTCAGGTTTGAAATCTCCCGGGTTTGCGCGTGCACGTGAATAACTTGGTTTCGTTCGTACGTCATGGCGAAACACCTAATGACTCGGTATCAAGGCGACTCGTTTGAAGCACTATGAGTCGACTCCTTTATAGATGAATCAACCGTTTTAAACACTGTACACTTACAGATTTAAGCCTTAGCTGGATACTTCACTTCACTTAGAGCTGTGTTACACACTACATGGAGGGGAATTTTCAAAAACCCATAATATGGGCTCTTTAAATAAAAACATAAATAACTAAATACAGAAAACTGCTCATTTACAGATATTTTTTACAGTGCGTAACATTTTTTTGTAAGGGATGATTTGAACTCAATGCAGAATAAAACAGTATAATAAGGTTGTTTTATTTCATTCTCCATAGTGGTCCTCCAGTGTTGAAGTGAGTACATTAGTAATGTGTGTGTGTGTTTCATCAATGAAACACATCTGATCATGATTTTAAATGCTTTACTTTTTTTAATTAATCTTCTTATGCCTCGTTCCTCCTGCAGAAAGCCTGCGATGAACAGGTAAAGCTGGAATAAGCAGCCGTTTTCTTGTTTTGTGTGTTTGATATGCAGCAATATACTGTATATAAAGAGACTAACAGTATTTCTCTCTGTGTTTTCAGACTTCCCCGTGTGCCAATCACAGAGACAGACATTGAGTTTTATCATGTCCCGACTCATGGTGACGCCAGCAGGAAACGCATCATGGAGGACACCGAGGACTGGCGCCCCAGGACGGGAACATCACAGTCCCGCTCCTTCCGCATCCTCGCTCAAATCACCGGCACTGAATCTGAACTCGGTGAGCAGGGACACGCATTTGAAAATATTGTTTTTTTCATTATATGAATTAGTCTGTTTTTATTTGCATTACCAGGTTATTATTATTATTATTATTATTATTATTATTATTATTATTATTATTATTATTATTATTATTATTAACCATCTGATTTCATTTGCATCACCAGATTTATTATTATTCATTCATTCATTCATTCATTTTCTTTTTGGGTTAGTCCCTTTATTATTCTGGGTTCGCCACAGCGGAATGAACCACCAACTTATCCAGCATGTTTTACGCAGCAGATGCCCTTGGTGGTTCATTCCGATGTGGCGACACCTGATTAATAAAAGGACTAAGCCGAAAAGAAAATGAATTAATTGTTATTATTATTATTAATCATCTGTTTTAATTTGCATAACCAGATTTATAATAATAATAATTTTTGTAATATAAAAAATATTTGTTATTAATAATAATAATCATAGTTTTTATTGTTAAAAAATGCTATATTAGGTTTACATAAATAGTTTGTTTATCTGTAGAATTTAATATTGCATTTTTATTTATTTTATTATATGAATTCAATGAATAAATTGTCTTCGAATGATAGAATTTGAATTTCGCAAGATTAAAATACTTTGTTCAATAATTTTTTTTTCATATTACTTATTTGTATTTTGTCATATAAATTAATCTGGGGAGGCAAAAATTTACCTTCTGTTTTTATTTGCAATATAAATATTACGATTTTAAAATGCTATTTTAGGTCCACGTCATTTATTTAGCTTTTCTAGTAATTCAGCTCATTATGAAAGAGAAACACTTTTATGTAAAAAAAAACAATGTATTGTATTAATTAATATACATAAAAAATAAAAAACATATTTTGCTGAATGTTATGAATGATTCTAAAAAATCCATGATTGGGAGAAATAAAAACAGCAAAAAAAATAAAATAAAAAAATAAAAATAAAAATAAAAATAAATAAATAAATAAACACATACATACATGCAGTTGCAATCAGAATTATTAAACCCCCTTTGAATTTTTTTTCTTTTAAAATTATTTTCCAAATGATGTTTAACAGAGCAAGGAAATTTTCACAGTATGTCTGATAATATTTTTTCTTCTAGAGAAAGTCTTATTTCTTTTATTTCTTTTCTTTCTTTTTTAAAGCCCGGTTTTAGGGTCAAAATTACTAGCCCTTTTAAGCTTTTTTTTTTCAATAGTCTACAGAACAAACTATCATTATAACTTGCCTAATTGCCCTAACCTGCCTAGTTACCCTAATTAACCTAGTTAAGACTTTAAATGTCACTTTAAGCTGTATAGAAGTGTCTTGAAAAATATCTAGTCAAATATTATTTACTGTCATCATGACAAAGATAAAATAAATCAGTTAGTAGAAATGAGTTATTAAAACTATGTTTAGAAATATGTTGAGATAATCTCTCCGCTAAACAGCAATTAGGTGAAAAAAATAAACAGGGGGGCTAATAATTCTGAACATAACTGTACATACATACATTTATACATATTTTCTAAAACTGAAACTGAAGCATTAGGTTAGTGATGGCCATAAACCTCAAGCAGAACACATCCTTTAATAATCCATCTGAAAAAAATTAAATTGTTTACAAAGAATTATTTACAAAACATTTACCCAGACATTCGTTCTGCTCTTGTTCCTTAATGCAGCCCATTGTGTTTAAAAAGCTTCAGTACTTTAGATTCGCTATGCTTGAAATTGACATTCAAACTCTGCTGTTTTAAACAGAGAGAGAAACGGATGAGTGCATGTGTTTCTCTGTATAAAAGCATGTCATGTTAAATGTTTTCTCCATCTTTATTCTGTCAGATCGCGCTCAGGAGGCTGAAGCAGCAAAGAAAACCACAAAGTGAGTTTGTGTGCCTGCCGGCTGTGTGTTTGAGCTCTTGTGTGTGTTTCCATCAGGTGTGTTGAGCTGCTGGAGGCTGTTTGTGTGCTGCTGTTTTAATGTGTGTTTTTGCTCTTCTGTGTTTTGTGCAGTGTATGTTAAATCTCTGGTTTCAGTTTACAGTCATGCAAATCAAATGAGACTCAAAACCAAGTTCTGTATTTTGATGCAGAATTTTAAAGGGATAGTCCACCCAAAAATACTAATTCTGTCATCATTTACTCTCCCTTCACTTGTTCAAAACCTGTTTGACTTTCACTCTTATGCTGAACACAAAAGAAGATACTGTGAAGGATGCTGGAAACCTGTAACCATTGACTCCCATATTGTATTTGTTTTTTTCCTGCTATGGAAAATCAATGGTTACAGGTTTTCAGCTTTCATCAAAATATTATCTTCGTATTATCACATTTTATACAACAGTTCGTCTGGTTCTGGTATCTGATTGGCTGATAGCCGTGCAATATTTTGCCAGTAACATCACGCAGACCTCTTCACGCTTCACCTCTGTGTATTACTCCGCCCACACACAGCCAGCAACAAGCAGAGATGCTACAGTTTGACAAATATTACTTTTGTTAGACAACAAAATATACTTTTGAGGCTTTTTAGTGGAGAATGTAGTTGTTTAGAGTGCAACTATGCAGTTTATTTGCAAGAATAGTGCCTATATTAAAAAATATTTACAATTATTATTTACGTTTTCTATCCACAAGATGGTGACAGAACCGCATAATAAGCCCATACACTTAGAACAATGGTTCTCAAAGTGGGGGACAATGAGAGGGGGTCGCTTGGTGATTTACAAAAATTTGAATAAACTTTTATGATTACCATTGTTAATCCATAACCTACAGAAGATAAAAAATAGTTACATAAAAAAATACAGTATCCAAACAAAAAGCCATCAGCCTTTGGTTTTTTTTATTTATTTTTTATTAATTTTTTTTTTTTACATTGATTGCAACCCTTAGGGTTTTTACATTAGATTAATGACAAAGCAATGACAAAGCAATAGCGTCAGTGCACCAGATTCTACAGCACTAGCTAAACTTTCTGACACCGTTACAGCACTCGCGTACATTTAAAATACATACAGGACACTAAACATGGAGTATGATGTGTAAGTGGCAGTCTCCAAAATTAAACCAAGAAAAGACTTGGGATGTAACTTAAATATTGTGCCCACCAGTCTAATTAGATGAGGTTAATATAAAATAATCATAATAAAAATGATATGGGACTGTTGCACTTTTTTTGTGTTGTCAATATGCTTGTGTTTATATAGGCTGATTGGTTTGTGTGAGTGTTGTGTGCAACGTTTGTATGATTATAACCACTTACGAAAGTAGTGGGGGTCGCGAGTCATTGGCAGTGTTATTTTGGGGGTCCCGGGCTTAAAAGTTTGAGAACCCCTGGCTTAGAAGATATAACAGTCTGATTTCTAACTATAGCAGATCAAATCAATATTAAACTGGTAAGCCCACCAGCCAACACTTCCATTTTTCATGGGAGTATCCCGTATTTCAGACCAGTCTCCCGCAACCATCCCGTTTTTATTTCTTCCTAAAAAACTCCCGTAATTTCACCCACCCCTGGGTTACCAACTTTGGTACAGTACCCGATCGAAGCGGCCACCCAAAACCCGCTGCATCCTGTTCTTAACCTCCCTAAACTCCTTATTGCAAACACAACAGCAGTCTGGTAACGTTAGGGGACGTTTGATGTTATTTTCGGGGTTAATTATTGTGAAATTCCGACTGCAACAGAGAAATACTGTAGGCTGTAACACTGTAAGAAGATATCTCTGTAGATGGATGGCATTTCATGTCACGTTCAGCCTTATAATCTTACAGTGTAAGCAGTTTTGTCATCGCTTTTTGACATCACTCAGAGTCATTCAAACACGAGCTCTAAGTGTCCTTGGTGAATTAGTAACGGCTTCTGCTGTTTTGACGTCAGCTGCAGATGTCAATGAATGGCGGAAGAAAATAGTTCCTGATGAAAAAATGGAGTTTAGACTCTCCGTGTTTAATGTTCTTATTTATATTCAGGTTTGTGTTGTTGAACTGTTGTATAAATGCAATATCACACTCGTAGCAGTGTGCTAGGGCTGTATATCAGAAATGGTGGGACGCTAAGGCACTCGGCCTATGGCCTCATGCCAACGCACGTATCCCACCAGTGCTGATATACAGCCTTATCGCACTGCTACTTGTGTGATATTGCTCATATATTCAACAGACGAAAGAAAGTCACAAAGGTTTGGATTCACTTGAGGTTGAGCAAACAGTGGGTAAATTTTCATTTATGGATGAACTATCCTTATGAACTATGAGGTTCATTGACCTCAAAAAACAACCTGATTAGATACAAAATACCTTATTTAGTGGACAGTAATACAGGTCACTATCTTAGCGGTCACAGATTTATACTGTGTCCAACTAAATTATTATTATGTTATTACTATTAGTTACTCATTTTCATATTTTTTCAGTCTTCTTTTTCTGGGATAATGAATAAAAAAAAGGATTTATTCAGTTGTCAGTTTCATGTAATGCAAATTAAAATGATTTACACACATTTTAAAAATTTAAAAAATACACATTTCTAAATTAAATCTAAAACTAAAATATAAAGAGAATATTTAGATATAAAAAAAACTAATTCAAACTATTAATAATATAGAAATTCATTCATCCATCCATTTATTTACTTATTCATTCATTCATTCATTCATTCATTCATTCATTCATTCATTCATTCATTCGTTCATATATTTATTTAATTATTTATTTATGTTTATTTATTTATCTAATTGTGATACTTAAATAACTCTGGTAGTAAACAGTAAATTTTAAATATTATCACAAAGTACACATTTCTAAATTAAATCTAAAACTAAATTATAAAAAGAATGTTTAGAAATGAAAACTAATCTAAACTATTAAGAAGAACTATTTATATAAATTAATTAATTAATTAATTTATTTATGTGTTTATTCATTTATTCATCTATTTATTTATTTATCCATTCATTTATCCATATATTCATCTATTGGTTGATTGGTTGATTTATCTAATTATTTATTTATCTAATTATTCAATGATACTAAAATAAACAGTACACTTTAAATAATATAAAAAATTCACATTTCTAAATTAAATCTAAAACTAAAATATGAAGATAATATTTAGAAATGAAAACTAATCTAAACTATTAATAAAAACCATTTGTATTTATTTATTAATTGTATTGATTAATTCATTCATTCATTTATTCATCTATTTATTTATTTATTTATCCATTCATTTATTCATATATTCCTCTATTTTTTATTTTTGTATCTATTTATGTAATTATTAATGTATCTAATATTTCAATGATATTAAAATAAACAGTAAACTTTAAATAATAACAAAAATACATGTTTCTAAATTAAATCTAAAACTGAAATATAAAGTTAATATTTAGAAATAAATTATATTTTATATATATATATATTTATTTCTAAATAAGATCTAAAACTAAATTATAAAGAGAATAGTTATAAATAAAAACTAATTTAAACTATTAACAACCATTTGTGTGTGTGTGTGTGTGTGTGTGTGTGTGTGTGTGTGTGTGTGTGTGTGTGTGTGAGTGTGTGTGTGTGTGTGTGTGAGTGTGTGTGTGTGTGTGTGTGTGTGTGTGTGTGTGTGTTATATATATATATATATATATATATATATATATATATATATATATACAAGTATATACAGTTGAAGTCAGAATTATTAGCCCCCTTCGATTTTTTTTCTTCATTTTAAAATATTTTCCAAAAGATATTTAACAGAGCAAGGAAATTTTTACAGTATGTTTGATAATATTTTTTCTTCTGGAGAAAGTCTTATTTGCTTTATTTCGGCTAGAATAAAAGCAGTTTTGGATTTTTTATGAACCATTTTATGGACAAAATTATTAGCCCCTTTAAGCTATATTTTTTCTCGATAACCTACAGAACAAACCACTGTTATACAATAACTTACCTAACCTGATAAGTTAATTTAATTAATAATAATAATTTAATAATCTAAAAATTTAAGGGGGCTAATAATTCTGACTACAACTGTATATATATATATATATATATATATATATATATATATATATATATATATATATATATATACATATATATATATATATACATATATATATACACACACACACACACACACACACACACACACACACACACACACACACACAAATGGTTATCATCTAATTATTCCATGATACTACTACTGAAATAACTCTAGTGATAAACACTAAATTTAAGATATTATCAGATTCACATGTTTTGAAAATGTAACTATTTATTGATTCTTTCTACTACATTTTTGTTAACATGTTAAAGATTTCACGTGTTACTAATACATGAGGCATTTATGGTTCATATATTGTGATATCTTGATAAAATCATGCTAATACCTGAGAAATAAAACACTAAATCTCATTCAGAGGCCTAAACCGAGAGTTATTCTGGTGATTTCTGTGCTGTTGTTGGTTTGCAGTGTGAAGTTGTTGTGAAATAACTTGTCTTTGTCGATGGATTGTTTGTTTGTTCTTGTGAGTTCTTGGCTTTGCCTGAAGAAAAGCATTGTTATAATCAGTGTTGGGCACATTACCTAAACAAATTAAATAGTTACAGTATAGTTACTACTTCTCACAAATAGTAACTGAGTGAGTAACCTAGTTAAATCATCACAAAAGTAACTTATTACCAGGGAAAGTAACTAGTGTTACCTTTTAAAAGAAAACATTTTTAAAAAATAATCTTACAAATTGTATGTTAAATAAAATGGACATTAAATTAAATAAATTATTGATATAAAACATTCTACACTATCCTATGCTGTATTTTTGTTGGATAATTTGAGAAACATACAAATTAATTTGAATATATTTTGGCTATTGT